ACCTCAAACTCCTGGGCTCAAGCGATCCTCCTGCCTCAGCCTCCCGAGTAGCTGGGACTACAGGCATGCGCCACCATGTCCGGCTAATTTTTTTTTCTATATATTTTTAGTTGTCCGATTAATTTCTTTCTGTTTTTAGTGGAGACGGGGTCTCGCTCTTGCTCACGCTGGTTTCGAACTCCTGAGCTCAAACAATCTGCCCGCCTCAGCCTCCCGGAGTGCTAGGATAACAGGTGTGAGCCACCGCGCTCGGCCATAATGTGAGTTTTTTGATATTGTATAATGAAACACCATCACTGGAAATATCTGAATAACTTAAGAAGCAAATATTTTCCAAATGTTCCATGCATGATGTTACAAAATTATTCAAGGGTAAAAAAAATCCATTCAAACTACAAGATAGACAATGAATTTATAAAAAGTACCAAAAAATCCACTGACATAACTTCAGATTTCACATAGTAACAAACCTTTAAGAAACTACTACTTGTTGAGTTTGGCTGTAGTATCAAAGAAAAATATCCACAATTACCTGAAAAGACGATTAAACTATTCCTTTTCCTTTCCCAACTACATAATCTGCGTGAGGTTAGGTTTTCTGCATATACCTCAACCAAAACAAGTGATCGCAATAGAGTGAATGCAGAAGCAAATATGAAAATATAGTGGTCTTCTATTAAGCCAAACATTAAGAGAGATTTAATAACTTTTGTAAAAATTTTACACTTTGTAAAAAACGTAAAACAATTCCACTTTTCCCACTATCTTTTACTGTTATATTGGAAAATGCACTTATTTCTCATTTTTAAAAATGTTATTTTTGGCAACTTCTAATGGATTTATTTTTTTAAATAGTTTTTGAATTTTTAATCCATTAAACAGCAGTAGATGTAACCTACATTTGGTATATTCAATAATTTAAAACTGTAAAGGGTTCCTGAAATCAAGAAGTTTGAGAACCACTGCATTTTACTTTCAGCTTTCTAACTAGATTTTTAACTTTTTTTTCTTTTTAATAGTAAAGCTTTAATTTGTTGATATTCTACATGTGGACCAAACAAATAAAAGAGATTTTTAACTTTTAATTAGATATCTATTTTTTTTATTATATACTTAATGTCCATCTCACCCACTAGTTTATAAGCGCAAAGAACTGGAACGCTGTCTGTCTTATTAATCATGGTATCTCCAACACTACCATAGTACCTGGCTCACAGGAGTCATTTAATAAACTTTTTTAAATAAATGCTTTAATTTATTCATCCATTTCCCTCAGAGAGCAACACTTGAAATGCCTTGCAACCAACTCTTTGTAAATTTAAACAGGCAAGTCTGTTTGCAAACACGCTTGGTTATCACCTTAAAAGCTGCCTCTCACACTCCTCATTAAATTATAGGCTTTATTGGTTACTATAAAAGAAAAATCTTGTTAGGACCTGACCAGTCATGTTAAAAATCAAAGAACTATTTTGTTGGTTTAAGACTGTTTAGTCCCCTCAACCTGTACTCATTTTTGCACAAATACTTTTAAATTTAACATTTTTTTCACCATAAAAACAATTCATCCGTTTTGTACACAAGAAAACATACATAAAATATTATCATCCATATACAACTACTGTTGTTCTTTCTTTTCAGACTTTTGTTATAATACTTTATTTTACCTCACATAGTATACTTTTTTCCAGTTTTGCACAATTTTATACCTCTCTTTTTCTACTTGCTATAAATATTTTACAAATTACTACAAAGCCTTCATAACCATCATTTTGAAGTGCCACATAATATTCCACTGAGTAAACTGTCATATTTATTTAATCAATTCACTATTAGAAATTTAGACTCTTTTGGCTGGGTGCAGTGGCTCATGCCTGTAATCCTGGCACTTTGGGAGGCTGAGGCAAGAGGATGGCTTGAGGCCAGGAGTTCAAGATCAGCCTCAACAACATAGCAAGATTCCACAACTACAAAAAATTTTAAAAATTAGCCAGGTGTCATGGTGCACATCTATAATCCTACCTACTCAGAAGGCTGAGAACAGAAGGGCCACTCAAGCCCACTCGTGCCACTGCACTCTAACCCAGGTGACAGAGTGAGACCCTGTCTCAAAAAAGAAATTTATATTCGGACTCTTTAAAAAATAATGCTGCTATGGAATTTTAACACATTTAACTTCCCATTTTGGTACTATTAGGATAGAGCCTCAGAATCTAAATGTCTTAGCCAGCAACTATATACAAATATTTATGACTCCTAATATATATTAACAAATTGCTTTCCTAAAGTGTTAATGTGATATTTTTTAAAAAACTAATTTCACCCAATCTAGTCAGTCCCAGATTATAAGAATTACATAACTATATTGGTCTATAAATTATTCATTTAAATTAGCATCGCTACTGTTATTTCTATTTCTTTATTAGAGAAGTAAAACATATTTCCATTTTTCTTTTATTAATCATTGTTCACTTTTTTGTAAATTTAGTTAATATTCTTTGACAATTTATCCACTAAGTTCTGCGATTTTTCTTATTATTTTTTGATAATATTAATCCTTTATTGTCATTTTTTGGCAAACATCTTTCTCATTCTGTTAATTATTTCTTTTGGTTACATTGTGACATAGGAGTTATTATTCATGTAATTTAATGTCTTTCTAATTATACTTTAATACTTTTTACAATCTCCCCAACGTCTCGTAAGCATTTAGACATATTGTGTTCCTAATTAGATATGGCTCAAAATTCCTCTCCAGTGAGGGAATACCTTTATCTAACAATATTTACTTGATGGATGGTGTTTATAGAGACTTTAAACCAACCTCTTTTTCCAAGTTTCCAGTCAGCACTCCACCATCAATTTTGGGATAATTTTTTACCTGTTACTCATAATGCCATTTTAAAATCATGTTTGTACCCCACCATTTTAAGTTCTAGAAAGTGACATGCTATCATTTACATTTCCAAAAGATGATTCTGGTTGAAATGTAGAAAGTGGATTAGTGTGTAAGGTGAGAATGGAAAGTGGTGGTATAGAATTTAATCTCTCTTGAACCAACTCTCATTTTTTCTCTATACCTCTCATAGTTCCCAAAGGATATTCTTTTGCTACTTTCTCAAAGCATTCTAAAGACACTGCAACTCTCAGGGGAGGCCACTTTTGAGAGAGTTCAACTACGAATGTCAATTATTATCTTTATACTTAGACTGTTAAATTTATTTATTCAGAATTCAATTATTATATACTAATTACAAAAATAATCTGATCACCTCATCACCCATCATTTGTCTCTCTATTAATCTTTCACTTTTCTCTTCTTCTTAGTCCTTGACTCTCTTTCCTTTTTTCCCCCTTTCCTTTTTCCTTCCATTCTCAATTTCCATCAATTTATTTAACACATGCTTTCCACATTTACCAACATAGACTCTATACTCCTCTATATATTCCTAAGCCAAATTTAATTCTGGCGTACCCTTCTAGCACATGACGTTATCAATAAAAATTCTGCCAAATAAAGACAGGTTTCGGAAAAGGCTATTATATAATAGGCCAGGTCAAATTTAATTTCTATTTGCTCTCATTCATGAAGTAAAGTACTTAAGATTATATATTAAATATGTACCAAGAAATATTTGTTAGACACTGCTCAAAACATCATAAATGAGATAAAGCTAACTAACCAAAACCTTATTGATTTGGCAATATTATCACTTTATTTATTACTAAACACTTGCTAACAATAATTTTTAACAAAAGTATGATAACGATGTGCAGAGAACACTACATAAAAACTTTAAAGAGCAGCTTTTTTGTTTTAAACATTGAAGAAATTGCTCAAAGGCCAAGTGGGCTGTAGGTGATTCTCTTTCTAAACTCATGACTGTGATGAGCTACTTCTTTTGGATTCTACATCCTCTATCTACCAGTACAGGTTTACTTAACATTCAACATTTGACAGAATTAAGATGATAGTTTTACCTATTCACATGGTTTGTACAACTGGCAATATAGACTGGAGACTGATATTAGTTCATATGTAGTAAATTAACTATTTAAATAAAATGCTGGTCAGCAAACTAAGTAATTTGGGTAGCTATTTCCAGCAGAAGTTCTTGAAAGTTCACAAGTTTCTTATTTTAGAGAGTAGCATACTACTCATTCTCAACTTTCCAGAAAGCTTTTTTTTAAGCAAATTTCAGAGATGTCAATGAATTATTAAGAGTTAATATACTTCAAACACCATATTAAATTCACTGTCAGATTCTAAAATATTTCAAACACCTTAACCTGTCAATGAGAAATTATTCTCTTTCAGTAACCGTAATTTAACAAGTACAATAAAGAATTTTAAATTACAAAACGATTAAAATAAATCAAAGGGCTTTGCATTTTTCTTAAAAATGCTCATCTCCAGGTTTTCAAAGAAAAATTAAAAACCAAAATATTTAACTTAATAGTTTCAGAACTAAACACTTTACCAACTAAAGGAAAGGGGGGAAGATGTTCAAAGAAAAAGAATATTAAGGTTTTTCCTAACCTATATAAGGTATAATAAAATTCATAAAAAATCAAATTCTTAATGAAATGAGTACATAAAAAGAATGAAAAACTAATTATTTCTGTGACAAAACAATTAATTCCCAAGCTTTTCCCACTAAAAACAAAACTTTATCTAACTACATTACTTACGTAATAGATGGATCCACTTGTTTGTAAGCATGGGCAGCACAAGACCCACAGTACGTATATCCTGCATGGCTACAAAACAAAACATTTTTTAAACTTAATCATCAAGTTCAAGGATCAAGATATTCTGAAAAAAAAACTTTTGAAAGAAATGTATTAACTATGGTAAACATAAAAGAATTGAGTGCATAGATTAAAAAGCAATGTAGTTAATGATGCTACTCCTAGAAGATAATAGGGAACAATTGTAATGCTGTGCTCCAATTTTAAACTCTAAAAATATTTTGTAATTTTTTTGTCTGAAGGACAATTAAATTTGGAGACATTCAAGGCTTACATGAACTTGCTAATGTAACACTAATAATATGTGAGTTTTTGATATTTCTCTTCAATGGCATTAGCGGACTTTATAGACCAATGATGAGACCAAGAAGTCCAAACAGACCAAAACAAGTATCCTACAACCAAAAACTCACTTCCCTCTGTGTCTTTCAGTGATAAGGGAATTGATGTGGCCTTCTCTGTAGTATGCCTCTCATTTTCTCTCCATGTTATTCTTCCGTTTCATCCACTGGTCTCAGCATTCAGTCAATTCTCTTATTACTTATAGAATAACTATTTCCTCATTTCATTTTTCTTTCTTGACTCATTCTAGTTACATGAGTGTACAGTCATTTCCTTTAGCACTTACTTATTAGTATGTGGCCAGTGGTATGCTAGTAAATGTTTTAACAACTGGCTCTGGAGAAAATGTATGCTTATACATATGTACGTAAGCTTCTTATAAAATTCTACTGAGATAAAAAGATATGTATTGTGATTTATAAATAATGATAAAATATGTAATACTCTTTACTGTAAATTCCATACAGCCAATTGATTGTCCATGGCATTTCTATAACATGGACAATCAATTTTTGCTGAACTCCTATAGCCAAACAATGGTTGCAATGGCAAAAGAGTGAACAAAGACATGTGCCTGAACTTCACTTGTTCATTGATGACTTAAATAACTTCTTTGCTGATTAGATAATAGTTTTAAATACTGGACAGAAAATCTCCTCACTTTTTTGTGCTACTGACAATGTAAAGGCTACAGACACAAGCTAATTTTGAATTTACTCTGTATTATTAAAATTTTCCCATTACTTCTTAAGTATAGACAATCAACAAACAATAAATAGAGCTGTAATTTGTAGCAATTTGCCAATTAATATGGAATAAATCATTCCCACCATGGCTGATGCACAGTAAATTGAAAAGACAAAACACAGACTGGGATAAAATATTTTTAAAGCATATATCTGATAAAGAATTTACATCTGAATATTTAGAAATCTCAAAACTCAATAAGAAAACAAACACCCTAATTATTTAAAAAATAGGTAACCATTTTGCAAGATGGAAAAAATTCTGAAGACTGCACAATAATGAGAACACACTAAACACTACGGAACTATATACTTAAAAATGTTTAAGATGGTAACTTTTATTTGTCTTTTACCATAATTAATTTTTTCCAAGCAATAAAAGATATGAACAGATACTTCATCAAAGAATACGTTGGGATGGCACATAAGCAAACAAAGAAATGCTCCACATTTAGTCATTAGGGAAAGGCAAATTAAAACTACAATAAGATACCACGAACACCGACTAGAACAGCTAAAATGAAAAAGTGCCGATAGCAAGTGTGGCAAGGATATGGAAGACCCTTAGTTCTACCCATACTATGCTTATGGAAATATAAAATGATACAACCACTTTGGAAAACTATTTGACAATTTCTTACAAAGTTAGACATAATCCTACCATATGATCTAGCCATTCACTCCTAAGAAAAATGAAAGCATTATGTTCACACAAAAATCTGTACACAAATGTTCATAGCAGCTTTATTTGCTATTGGTAAAACATATTGGGCACACCAAATGTCTCTCAAAATGTAAATGTATAAAGAAACAGGTATATGCATGCAATGGAATATTCTTCAGCAATAAACAGGAATAAACTATAATTAATTTTAAATAATAAATTTAAAACAGGTAAAAATAAGTATGCTGAATGGGACAAGTCAGACAAAAAGAGTTCATTCTGTATGATTCTATTTAAATAAAACTCTAGAAAATGAAAATTAATCTATAGTGACAGAAAGTAAACCAGTAGATACAGAAGAGGAAGGGGCAGAAAGGTACAGGAAAAATTATAAAAGAATATGTGGAAACTTTTGAGGATCATGAATATGTCATCTTGATGTTTTCACTCATACACACGTTAAACATCAAATTGTTACTTTAACTATTTGCACTTGGTAAGCTAATCATACCACAATTAGGCTCTTCTTCCCACCCCCACAATAAGGTTCTTTTTAAAGAATGGTCCTAAACTGAACTAGCTTAAGATATTAGTGAAGAAAAAGATATGCACGTAAGTCAATCACAGCAATACAAGATAGCAGTGTGTTTAATTAGGAGTTACATAATATGGGACATACACTAGGCTCACTGAAATCAGAAGATTTTAATTAATGGAATTAATGATAGTCACCATTCCTATACCTCTGGCAAGGGAGTCTATCAAGTTGCCTTAATTTAGCAATATTCTCACAACCCAGTTCTGATCTTAGCCAGAAGGAAATGTAAGTAGCTCTTTGGTTCAGCACACTCAGTTTTGCTGTACTAATCTTGAAAGTATAGCCTAACCAGGGGCTCTCTTTTACCCCATATGTCCTGAATCTTCAAGTGCCTGAAACCCCAATACTGATTGCTTCAGATTCCTAACACCTGGCTCTTGATCTTCACCTAACTACCTCCCCTTATCAGTTCAGAAGTATGCTGTCTTTCCTGTCCAAGTTGACCTTAAAACCCACCTGGTCCCTCTGGATCTGACCTGGTCTATCTCAAACCTGAATGGCATCTCACATTTTCGACACTGCTTTACTCCTAATTGTCACTCATATCCCATCCCTTCACTTTCCAATCCTTATATCTTAAACTAATCCTTTCATCTTCGATCTTCTTTTCAGACTTTAATTCCTCTTTGCCGTTCATGAATTTAAAGGCCCTAATCCCCAAGAGTCTAATCTCCAAATCAACCTGTCTTTCTATTCTGAGTCTCTCCTTGTTCCTGACCAAGCTCAATTCTTACCATCCAGAAAGACTTCTTGGAAACACTGGATTCTTAAAGTATGAATAGGACAGAAATATGTACAAGTACATGATGTAGATGAGAAAATACAAGACTGGCCTGAGTGCAATAAGAGAGTAATGATAAGCCAGAGTCAGGCAAAGGAGTCCGGGCTTGATAAAACAAGATACTGAAAAAATGCTATGGGCTCTTGGGCAGGAGAGTGACAATATAAAACTGTTATTAGTCTAGCACTGAAAAGCATTAGCACAAAGGATTAACAGCAAGAGGGTGTTAAGAGAAGCTCTCTTGAAAATTGTGGCAGTGCCACGTTCATGCATGAGGTACTAATGTCATGGTCTAGAACTCTATCAGTGCTGGTGGGAAAAGGGAACTGAATGCTCTGGAATCTAAAAAAAAAATACTATACTCTGGTTTCTCTTCAGATCGTATAAATCTTTCACCTTTTACTAAAAAAGAAATACTGTTGGGCATGGTTGCACATGCCTGTAGCTCCAGCTACTCAGGAGGCTAAGGCAGGAGGATCCCTCGAGCCTAGGCATTTGAGACCATAGTGCCTGTGAATAGCCACTGCATTCCAGGAACACAACGAGACCCTGCCTCAAAAAAAAAAGAAAGAAAAAAAGAAAAGAAAACAGACAGATGTTAGTGACCAAATATGGGGGATGATGAGAAGGGGGAAGAGGATAATGATAATAACAGTAATAACATTTACTGAATGTTTGCTATGTGTTGAGCACTCTTGTACGTACTTCCAAGTATTAATTCATTTCATCCACGCACCAATCTTATGAGATAGGGATTTTTTTTCTCATTTTACAGATGAAGAAACTAAAACAGAAAGGTTAAGAAATTTGCTCAAGCTCACACAGATGGTTAAGTGGCCACGCCAGGACTTAAGCCAGGCAGTAAAGCTCTAGAACCCATACTCTTAACAAGCGTAAGAGATCTTTACATGTTTGAAGGAAGAAGGGAGGAAGTCCACAGAGTAACAAAAGCAACAAGCCTGAAAATGGGAACAATACTTACAGAATCATTTACTCCGTAAGACTACAGAAAAGGATGAAAGTTTTGAAAATATGATCAACTGAGGTAAACACATGTTTTATAATGGAACTCAGATTTCATGGTTTCAGTCCTTTCTGAAGCTGAAGGCTTAGATGTCTGCTTGAAGTAAAAACAAAATAGTTTCAGGGAGAGGAGAGTCTTAAACAGGTCTTAACTTGGATAGAGAACACACTGGAGAGTATTTGTTTTAAAAATCAGTGAGTGCGCTATCCCTTTTAACCTCCACCTTGAAGAACTCTACTTTAAGAAAGGAGCAAGATTGGTTGGGCGCGGTGGCTCACACCTGTAATTCTAGCACTCTGGGAGGCCGAGGAGGGTGGATCATTTGAGCTCAGGAGTTCGAGACCAGCTTGAGCAAGAGCGAGACCCCATCTCTACCAAAAATAGAAAGAAATTAATTGAATAGCTAAAAATATATAGAAAAAATTAGCCGGGCCTGGTGGCACATGCCTGTAGTCCCAGCTACTCGGGAGGCTGAGGCAGGAGGATCACTTGAGCCCAGGAGTTTGAGGTTGCTGTGAGCTAGGCTGATGCCACTGCACTCTAGCCCGGGCAACAGAGTGAGAATCTGTCTCAAAAAAAAAAAAAAAAGAAAGGAGCAAGATCATAATCAAAGAAGAGAAATTCTAATACTTTTCCTTTATCCTGGCCCAGATACATGGTAATGAAGAAAGCCGGACTAATAACCATCAAATCTCACTACAGATGCTCTTTTCCTGCCTCTTCTCTTGCTAATAAAATCTATGATTCTACATGAACGTGGAAACAAAGTTTTATCAAGTGATCACTCATAATAAAGGCGGTTTCACTGAAAAGAACAGAAAAAGTTTTTCCTTTGTGCATAATAGCCAAAACAT